TTAAAATTTTATTTACAATGTAGTGCGTTCATTTTGTATTCTCTTCCCTGGGCGTATAAATTTTTGAAGAAGTCCTCGCGTTGTGCGCTTAGCCCATAAAAGTTATATTCTTACAACTTTACTTCCTATCACAACGAGTTCTAGAATATCATCCCTGAAGAGTAAGGAAACTCAATTTAATTTTAATGTCTCTAAATCTCTTCATGAAGTTGAACAGTTAAAGTTACAATCGTATCTACTACATTATTCTTATCCGGAAGTACGTGTTAATAATAAACTTTAGACAACCCAATCTTTACTAAACTAAGGATAACTTTGTATAAAACTAGAAAGGGTTATACAAATATATTTTTTTTGGTAGCAAGAAGTAATGTGGCCTGGCCGAGGACATAAAAACCCTGGACTCGATTCGCTTTACGCCACCTTCATTATATCACTTTCTAATGCGTGGAAAGGAATTAGTTAGGAAGGCGAGAGATTTTATATGCCTGGTCAAGCTACATATGTTGTGAATGGAATGAAAACAAGTGACATTCGAGGAGGTTACAAGCAAAGATGTTAAATTTATTATAAACATTCGAAGTTTTTGAGCGTTATACACTTTTACATACATATTACATGTCACAAAAATGTATATCTCAATAATAACAGAATTATACGTATATTGGTATATGACAAAACTGCGTTTGGAAAGTGAATGATGCTCGTTTGCGAATCGAAAGTAAATGGTAAGAGCGGGTCGACACAAACGGAGTGAAAACCATTGTTTGACAACGAACTTTCACCGTACCCGACATATGACGTGTAATTCTTTAGATAAGTATCACATTAGAAGCGGATACAAAAAATAAATCTATCAGTTACGATTTGTATTTAACTTATCTCGAACGTTACATTTAACTAGTAAAAATCAACTGTATTAAAGATAAAAATAATAATCGAAAATCAATAAACAATAAACTAAAAACTAAGAGCGTTTGTGGCTCAGTGGTTTAAATACTTGACATGTAATCTACAGGTCTTGGGTTCGAATCCCGCCATGTACCAATGTGATTTTCGAATTTTCATATATACATAATTTACCTGACGTTCTTACGGTGAAGGAAAACATCGTGATGCAACCTGCACATATCGAAGTGAAGAAATTCAAAGATATGTGTGAAGTCATCCAACCCGCACTTAGCCAGCGTGGTTGACTATAGCCTAGTCAACGCTTATAAGGGTAGGCTCCGAGCCCCTCGGTGGGGACTTATAGTGAGCTGGTGGTGATGGTGGTGGTGACTAAACAATTAAAAGAATGTTTCTGTTACAATAAAATTCTAAAGTAACCAATAATATCAAAAATATAAGAGTATAACAACTATAAAGTACACTATAAATAATGTTTTAGGGGTGTTTCGAAATTAATGGGTGAATATAATGGGCGCGCGGGCGCATTTTGTCCGATTATTGACTTCAATGGAACACAATGGTGACGTGATTGGATCTTTTTGATAATGTTCATGAAAAGTAACCGCTAGCGTATCTAACAATCTAGCAACTGATTTTAATAACAAAAATTACATATATTTAGATCTAGTTGTAAATCTGTAAATCTCTGTAAAATTTATAATTATTGTTTAGTATTATAATTTATTACTTGTATAAATAAAATATATGTAAACTGTGTTAAAAATGAAGCTACCTTTATCTTTATAATCTTTGCGAAATGAATTAAAAAATAATCACTTTTGGAATCCTGACTGCTTTATAGTGACTCGATTAAAATTCTTTTTAAATTCTCATTCAGAAAAACGAATGAATTCGACATAACTATTGCGCACTTTTAAATGAAATTGCACCTGCCACTAATCTCAGCAAAAAATACAGCATAAACGATTGGACAAATTAAAGAAACTTTTAAATATTTCAACATTTTAATTATAATCTCAATTTCGTTTTAAATCCAGTCATAAATAAACAACAGATACACAATAATTACATAACACATTAAAATGTCGCGCAAACTTACGTTTCTCATTTTCATAGATATTAAAACGGATAAAGGTAACATAATCATTAGATGTTAGAAATCTATTCGTATTAAATGACAATTAAATTTATCGATATTACGAAACTATTAACGTAACAAGTAATCTAATATTTTAATGTCCGATTACGAAACTCACAACGTCAGGTCTAGACATGTGACTGAACTAAACGCTTTGTTATGCAACACAAGGATGCGTTTAAAGTCGATTATTCGAATCAATTAAACTTTCTATTTTAATTATGTAAATCGATTTGGCAATTGTTTTAATTTGAGCAACTGTGGAAGAGCCCGATTTAACATCTTTACACGAATGGTAACATGTTCGCTCCGGCATATACGAGTAAAATCCCATCTATAATTACAAAGGAACATATTAAATTATTGATTTAATTATCTTAATAGGTTTCTCGTCAAAAGCCAATAAAATGCCGGAGCCTTTGAGTTAGTATAGAGCATTTCAGTTGTCCACCAGCAATCGCCGGTCTCCGTCCAAGTTCTAAGGAACTTTGTTTCTCAATTTAAAGTTTTCTTTTAAAACACCCTCGCTAGTTTAATAAGCAGGCAACGGGAGCATTTCTACAACGTTTACTTTATAAAAATCTATTGTCTTTTCGCAAGATAACTAATTATAGATTTTTTAATTGAATTTCACTATAGAAATAGTGAACGAGTTTGTAAAGATCTGTACTTTACAGATTTCATTAAAAAGATTTTTGCTTTTCAAAGTTTCTTATTCGTTAGTCAATACTAAGCTAACTGTCAACAATTTAAATTTTTTGGTCTCTATTCTCTAAAGTATTAAAACAAGAAATTAAGATTAGTGAAAATATAACTGAAATTTAATTCAAGCTTCTCGCAAGCTGTTATTGGCTGCAATCTGTATACATGTAAAACATTAAGAAATAACAATATTTTAGCAAACTATCCATGAATATTCTTTACACGATGCAAGAGATACAAAGTCGCCTTATAACTAGCGCCATCTGTTACTATTTATTACTAAACGTGTGCATGAGTTCACAATCTAGTGGAAAGAAATATTTAAATGAAGCTAATAAGAGATAGATTTTAGAAAGGAAATACTTGATAAAATTAGAGTTGAAAGGTGCTTATATTTAAGGATAATTAAGAAATCCGGAAACAAAAGTTTAGCGTAGTATGGAGTTGTTATGCGAGATGGGGACACAAACCAGAAAGTGTTAAGATTGAATGTGGATGGCTACAAAGGTTGAAGTAGACCGAAGAAAGTTTAGATGGATTGTGTGAAAGAGGATATGCTTAATAAAGAAGTGGATTCAGATATGACAGCTGATAGAGATGTATGGAAGAGCAGCACATACTGAGCCGACCCTCCTTAAGGGATAAAGGGCAAGTGGATTACGATTTAAGGATAGGTGAATAATTAGTTACTTAATTAATCTGTAGTACAATTAATTCAAATGTATTGCAAATATTTGTAGACTGACAATTAAATTTTCCATTTATATCAAATACAGACTGTAACAATCCGAGTGCAAGAGACAAATAAGACATAACTGCCCTTGTCGGTTGTATAAAGGGCTTTGTAAAGTACACCCCATTGACAATAAATTGAAGAACCATTCTATGTACACAATATCTGTTGCTCGAACAATACAATGATGAATAAGTTGACTTGTTACACGATTACGTTTATTTTATCAATATAATAAACACTAACTTTCGCCAGCGACTCCGTGCGCGTGGAATTAAAAAAGTAGCCTATGTGTTCTTCCATTCTCTACATCTATGGCAAATGTCATCGTAATTCGTTCAGAAGTTTAGGCTTCTAACATCAATCCATGTAAATTTTCGCATTTATAATATTAGTAAGATTACTGGTAGATGGTCACAAAAACAAAGAAGTATTTTAAATAAATTTGTATAGCTGCAGGTAGGGGAAGACCGAAGACAAAGAATGTGTGAAATAGGATATTTCTAGATAGTAAATTCAGATATGAGAACTGATTGAAACGTACAAAAGACACATACTGTGCTTACCCTCCGTAGGGATAAAGGCAGGTTGCTTAATAATTTACTTAATAGATACAAAAGTTTTAAAAGCGAAAACTAAATAAAGTCATCTAGGACGACGACCGTTAGATACAAAATGTTTTAGATATACTCTATTCATAAGTCTTTAGAAGTAAATAAAAATAACCTAAGTTATTGGTTAAAAACATTTCGAAGAAATGACAGAGTGAATATTTACGCATAAACACGACTTTATTCTTTTTATTGAAGTTTGAAGAATTATGGATTACAGCTTCATTTGTGGGTATTCATAACATACTGCGACATTTTATATGCACCGCACGATACCGCACGCAAAACTGTAGTTGCGGACAAAGGCCTATGTAATAGTGTTATTCTACGAGCCGATTTATCTGATGGTCCGATCACATTGTCCAAATATATGGACAACCTATAAATATAACTTACGTATTGTGTATGCAAATTATTGCAGTCTGTGCTATTATATAGCACTAGCTGTTGCCCACGATTTCGTCTACACAATATTAAGATAAAAAATAGGCTAGGGCCAATTTCGAGGGGATCTGGAGGGTAGCTGACATAAACAGGCATATTAAAGGCTACTTTTTTTTAAATTCCGCGCTGTCAAAATGGCGACGGGACCGCTATCTTTGAAACCGGTGGACCGATGTGGACGGGACTTTAACCGGAAGGTAGCTGGTAAAAAGTAGATCCACGCTGGATTGTTATAGACGATCATCTTTTCAATTCCACGCATTATTCCACAATTTAACAAAGTTTGCGGGCGATAGCTCGTTAATTAGTAAAACATTAACTGTAGTATTTACCTTGTATGGTTCACTTGGACATAATGTAGACATTAAAGATTACTCTATAAAATCTGTCATTACTTTTATTTCGATGTTAAATATGTTAAAAATACATATGACTTATTGGAATTTTTTTATTGTTCCAGCTATGACCGTGACCAACCGTTCACATTCCAACTTGGCGTGGGTCAGGTGATCAAGGGATGGGACCAGGGATTGACTGACATGTGTGTCGGTAAGTTTTCGTATTACACTTGTATTCTACACTACTATAGAAAAAAAAACTAAACAACCCTACTTTCATTTATAAATCTATTAAAGTCGATTTACTGTTTAATTGCTTTTTGTTCAAATGCACTGAGACTACCAAACACTTAACTCCTAGCTCCCTGTTAGATAAATGTATTGCGTTAAATATTAAACGAGTACAAAATTTATGTGGCCATTTGCAGCGAGAATATTTACGAAATGCCCCGTGTGGGTTTGCACAGAGCACTTCTTTAGTTCTAAAAGGGAATATCAATCAAAATCAAATCTATTTATGATTAATGTAATCTATCGCTGGTTTAATAATCCATTGGTATCATTAATTTATCGTTGATCGGTTTATAATTGGTTTACGCGGATCAGTTACTATTGGGATTTGATTTGAAACAATTGTAGTGAAAACAAACGATATTTGAAGGATATCAAGCAGCTATTAACAAATGCATATTGTTGCCAAAAGTCTACAAACAAAAGTACAGTTTTTATTGCAACCAAGATTTTTTCCCTTATTCTGTAATAACCTATACTGTAATATCAATTTCATAATTAAATAAAAAAATCTTGTTTTTAACTGTTAAAGGTTAAAAGTTAAATGTGCACTAAAAATAACACAAACATTTTGAAATAGATTCGATTTTTGTTGCATCTATTTCAACATCAATGTTGCATGTTAAAACGTTTCAAAATGTCATGAGTTTTTAAATATTAGAATGCTAAAGTTGTAATAAAAAGTTGCACAATAAAGTCTGACACGAGGCTGCTTTAGTTTCAATTAATATTGGACTGTGTAACTAAAATTAATTCCGCATTGATGTTTTTAAAATGGAAAACAAAAAATCACACAAAGTTACAAACAGCTTTAATGAAATTTTCAACATATTTCGTATTGATTCGTAGTTTAGAGTTATACTGGATCCAAACGACTATAGTTTGTCTTAATAAGATAGATTAGTTTAATAAATGACGCATATGAAGTATCGAATTCAATTTGTATGAGGGTAATGCTATACTTAATAGACAGGTATCGTAGTGACGGACAAACATGCATAGCGAACAATTATGAACTATCGATATTCGGTTTTAATAATTATCGAACTCAACTAAAATTATTATTTTCTTATCAACTAATTTAGAGGACAATTCTAGTATTGATTATAGTGTAGAGAATTTAGCGATGACAGAAATAATAGCGAAATCCAATTCGATTACGTACGGCTGTAGTAGTAGTAAACATTTATTTACTCTCATTATTTGTTATGGTCATTATTAATTTGAGAAAACAGTGTTTTTTTTATTCATAAGTTATAACTATGAATCTATCGATTCTAACTTCTATAAGAATAAAAATCGAAAATCGAATCGAGAATCGAATCTTAATTCATGACTGATTTTACACAACCCATCCCTACTAAATTTAAAGTGAATTGTCAAACTAATCTAAATTATTTAGACACACTATAGGCGGATACGCAGCCGTGGTATTATCACAATCCAATATCAATGAAACACTTTAATTACCGCTCTAGTAATTTATGCGTAGTACAAAATGTTTCCAATGTTTTCATCGGAATAATCTGATGTGATACAAAGAGTTAATGAGATCTCGTTAATGCTATTGCAACAATTGTTTTGTGTAAAACATTTACAATTACGATAATTAGATTTGTAATCCGTACTTAAATATTATAATGTTCGTGGTTAATTTTGAACCGACTTCAATTCAATTGACACTTTTTACGTACGATTTTGTTATTTCATAATGCAATTTGGATATTTAGTCTTAGGGCTCCATCTATCGTCAGCGTGACGAAATATACAGTGGTATAAAAAGGTTGGAGAAAAATTGGATTCATCTTAGAAATAACGAAGTATATTTGCATCCTAATTAAGTTTATCTTGAAAACCAATATTATTTTACGAAATAGTATGTCTACTCTTGTAACAGATCTTTTAAAATAACCAAATAACCGCTGTTATATAAGATCAAAGTTATTCAATAATATTTAAACTCGATATTCTTTGTGTAGGACAAAAGACAGTGAACAGTGAACAAATAACTCTTCTAATATGACACTCACATGGACTGCTATCAAAGGTCCATTTTCAATCTAAAAGAATTATCGGCGACTTCTTTGTGCTGTCAGAAAATGAAATTGTACATTTTCGCTTTGAATTTAAGTATAACAAATCAAATAGAAAAAACATGAAATGTTTTTATTTTTATGTTTATGTTTTAGTTATTTTTAATCCACTTTGAAACTACATACGAAATCAATATTCGGTCTGAAACCGGTGATTATTTTACCAATCTATAGATCACAATAACAATCTAAAAACATCTTCTATTGTTTAGATGGCGATTGGAATATGTTTACTGTTTCATACAGAGTATAAATACCTAACTGAATTTAAAAATTAAGCATGAAATAAAATTATTAATAAAATAATCTGTTTTTGCAGGAGAAAAGCGTAAACTGACCATCCCATCGTCCCTCGGCTACGGCGAACGTGGGGCCGGTAACGTGATCCCCCCTCACGCCACTCTCTACTTCGAAGTTGAGCTGATCCACATTGGCGATTCCCCACCAACCACCAACGTGTTCAAGGAAATTGACGGCGACAAGGATAACATGTTGTCCCGCGAAGAAGTGAGTATAGAATTAGCGTTTCAAGCAATGGACTCTGACGGCGACAAAGAACTATCGCGCGAGGAGGTCAGTCCCCGATGGTTTCTTTGGTGGAGGAAGGGGGTATAGGTCATCCTTGCCACTCTCGCTGATATTTCTTAACTTTTGCTTATTTATAGCAAATGTATATATTTTTATTTGCATTCTTCTTATTTACTATCTCAAACTATCTGGAATAGCTAGTAGACTTAACTTTTTAAACGCAAATTGTCTTATTTATAGTCAAACTAAAACATAATAGTATTTTCTTATGAACTATTGTGACCTCTACTGAAATTTGTAGTCCTTTTAGCCTTAGATCGTCTTCTGGTGGACATAGGTCTTCCTCATTTATTGGCACAAAGACTAGTTTTTTGGCTCCATCTTCCAGTGTACTGTTACCATGACCAGGTCATCGGCTGCTTTTATTCCAGTCCATTAATTATCCATTGTAAGATTTAGTAGCATTCTATCAAACTCTTAACTAACTTATCCCTTTGTGCTAAATATAAATATTATATACTTAACCTTATTTCTATACAATTACTAACTAAACTAAATCTATTTCAATTCCCCTAACTCTGAGTTGTATTAATCCGCTCGTTTATATAATAGCCCGTGGGAACCCGTTCCCAGTTTGACGAAACTAGTCATCTCTCTGCAACTCAATAATAATAGTTAATTTATATAAAGTATATTATTATAAGGTTCTAAAAGTTATGTTTTATCTGATATCATTTCACTTTTTAAATCTAACTAATATTTACAGTACTATTTGTATTAACCTATTGAATTTTAATTTACAGGTAAGCGAATACTTGAAGAAACAGATGGTGCCCGCCGATGGCGCGGAGATGAGCGAGGATATCAAACAGATGCTCGAGAGCCACGACAAGCTTGTTGAGGAGATCTTCCAACACGAGGACAAGGACAAGAATGGCTTCATCAGCCATGAAGAGTTCTCTGGACCAAAGCACGACGAGCTATAAACATTGTCGTTAGAATTAGCCGCTTCCTTACTCAATATTATTCTAATTGGATGCGGAATATAAGACTTTTAATAATAATAATCGATTTTAAAAATTCCAATTTTTTTAAACATTCGTTTTTATATATAATTTCGTTATCATTTTATAATTTAGTTAATTAAAAAAATTAGTACGTTTATGTTATTTTTATACAGATGTGTGTTTAATAAAAAAAATATTTGTTGATACGATTGTACTTAGTTTCTCTAAGTTGTTGGTGTATCTATGAGTTCGTTATAATTTAGGTTAGAGTCTGTATGTTTTTCTGATTACATTTATACATATCTATAATATACTATGACTTATTGGGATATATAACCTTTAACGATATAAGCTGTTAAGCATAAGTATCTCATTCATCTGACTTTCGGAATCTGTTTACAATCTTAATTCGTACCAAAACGTCTTTATAATAAATCCATTTATCGGCGCCATATTGGATTAAGTAAGACTGAATCAATATTATGTAACATTAAGATGGATTGTCAAGTTGCCAAAATCTCACTTCAATGGAATTAATATAATAACAATGCATTTACTGATCTGTAATAAAAATGTATCGCTGGTTTAAAATGCATTTCATGTATGAATTCAATAATCAAATCAAATTAAAATCATTACAGTATATCAATAAACTTATTGCCTAAAACTGCTTTTTTCTTATTCCCTAATCTCCCAATCAATTCATCATCATCTCCCCTGCCTTATCCTACTCCCGTAGGGTCAGCGCACCGGGTTTTCGTCCTCCAAAGCATTCTTTCATCCGTCATCCCAGTCATCACTCCCTTCTTGATCATGTCACCTTTCACGCAATCCATCCATCTCTTTCTAGGTCTACCTCTACCGATGTACCCCTCCACATTCATAACTAACATCCTTCTTGTTACATGCGATTCATCCCTTCTCATAACATGCCCCATACCACTCTAACCTTTTACTCCTTATTTTCTCAACCACTGGGGCTACTTTTAAACTTCCTCTAATATACTCATTTCGTATCTTATCCAACCAATTGAAGAAATATTTTAAACTTTAATGTAAAAGCAGTCTATATGGCAGTATGCGTGATACTTGTTCCTGTTCACACATGCCATACCAACCGCATGCATTATAGTTTGTCTAAATAAGATAGATTAGTTTGATAAATGCATATGAAGTATCGAATTCAATTTGTATGAAGTTAAATGCATAATTAATAGACAGGTATTAGTGACGAAACCAACACGCGTAGCGAACAATTTTCAACTATCGATATTCGGTTTAAGAAATTATCGAACTCAACTAAAATTATTATTTTCTTATTAACTAATTTATAGGACAATTCTAGTATTCTAGATTATAGTGTAGAAGCGATGACAGAAATAATAGCGAAATCCAATTCGATTACGTACAGCTGTAGTAGTAATAAACATTGATTTACTCTCATTATTTGTTATGATCATAAATTTGAGAAAACAGTTTTTTTTTTAATTCATAAGTTATAACCATAAATCTATCGATTCCAACTTCTATAAGAGTAAAAATCGAAAATCGATAAGATTCATGACTGATTTTCCACAACCCATCCCTACTAAATTTGAAATGAATTGTCAAACTAATCTAAATTATTTACACACACTATAGTTATAACATGATTAGCGAAAACACATTAAACCGTCTATTTTGGAATTCCCTCCCCAAGTTCTAAAACGCTACGTTATTGCAAAGAGCTTTTTGGAGGCTGTGTAGCCAAAACACAGTACATCCACAGTAATTAATTGATTTTTTTAAAGGGAATTCACTTTTGAAGTGTTTTACTGTGATGTGATCCCACAAGTAGATTTTAAAGGAAACATACACAAAAACGGTATAATAAGGTTCAAATGAAAAGTTAGTCAAAGATCATAAGAGTCGGGACTCATTCCTTTTTTTAATCTGTATCTAATTAAGAAAACGCAGGAAAAAGATGGAGGACATTTTAAATGCAACCAACATGTCGAACAAGTTTTGCAAGGGTACCAACATAGCAAAGAAATCTAGATGAATGTCGTTGTTTATAGTTAAACTTTTGTATTATTCATATTCTTAGGAAATAATTTGAAATAAAAAAAGTCAATTTACTTAATTAAAACTTTTATAAGACTTACAAATTCAAAACATATTCATTGACATACAGTTCCTTGAAAATTTCCATAACAATAATTATCAATTTAAAAAAATGTTTTAGAAGAATGAAAAATACAGTACGTTTTATTGATTTTAATATAGTTATCTATCGATCCCAACTTATTTGTGAAAAAAAAATGATAATCCCTAATTACTGTATCATTTTTTTCAATTCATGCCTACTAAATTGTCAAATTAATCTTAATTAGACTAACAACAAGTAAAACTATTTCAAAGAATCGCAATTGTCTGCGGTGGCGGAGGCGGAGGCGGCGCACCGATGTCGCGGCGACACTCGGCCGCAGCCGCAGCCGCAACAGCAGCTAGTGTTGCTTGGGCGGTTTCTTCATTCAATGTTTATTTGGAGATATTTACAGGAGATATAACTTTCAAAGAGATGCATCCAATCATCCATCTGCAACAGAATAACCTAATATAGCTTAAAATTTATTTCTCTTCCATATACTTAAGCTGAAATACAATGTAAACTCTATATAACGACACTGAAGGGACTATTCATTTTATGGCGTTATAGAGAGAAGTCGTTAAACGGAGATAAGAAAAATTAGAACTAGAAAAAAAATTGTTTTAAAATATTGTTAGTAGTTATCTAGTAGTTACGTATATAAAAATAATCTTATTTAAACGTTATTGCATGTATTATTTTTGTCTAACGTCTTTTGCTGCACCAGTAATTATTTTAGAACCTGTAGGTTCACGACGGTCGGTTCCTCCAAAAGGGTTGGCACCCCACCTTGGCGACGGGTGGCCACCGGCCGTAAAACCAATAGCCAATTCTTTATTCCTTGTCCAAACATGACTTAGGACAAGGAAGGCCGACCCCAAATAACTGGGAAAAGGCGAAGATAGAAGAAGAAGTAATTATTTCGTCCTTTTTTAAATCGAGGGACGTTACATGGAGTTTATACTGTATTAGAATAAGTATGACTGCAAAATTTAATTGGTATCATGTGTACAGTAAGAGTATAAACTGATTTTAGATTCATCATCATCATCACCAGCTCACTATAAGTCCCCATCGAGGGGCTCGGAGCCTACCCTAAGTAAGGGGTGACTAGGCCATAGTCAACAACGCTGGCCAAGTGCGGGTTGGTCGACTTCACACATATCTTTGAATTTCTTCGCCGATACGTGCAGGTTGCATCACGATGTTTTCCTTCACCGTAAGAACGTCGGGTAAATTATGTACATATGAAAATTCGAAAAATCGAAAATCACATTGGTACATGGCGGGTACAGAGCGTCGGTGGCTCAGTGGTTTAAACACTTGACTTGTAATCTACAGGTCTTGGGTTCGAATCCCGCCATGTACCAATGTGATTTTAGATTATTCTATATTAAATTGATGATAACCACATACCTAGTTGAAGATAATCTATTGGCATAAAGTAACACTGAGAAGGAAGTTTTTAAAAAAATGTAGAGAAAATGATGCTATTGTATGCTGTTCACAATTCTTTTTTCTATGCTCCATTGATTATATCTTCATATTAATTTCTTAAAATTTCTTTGCACCTGAAAATTAAAGAATTAAAGATTATGATTTTACAATGGTGAACTAACAAATTATCTAAAATCTTATTATATTATTCATTCAAATTTAATAGTCAGGAACTTTTATTTGCTGCCTATAGGCCTATAATTGTGTATGTGGTATTGCACAAAGCCTAGCTATTTGTGCTAAGATATTAAATCAATTTGGATTTTAGAAAATTTGCCATAGCAGTCTTTATGGGGACAGTTTATTTTACAAAACATGATACAATGATTGATATAAATTGTAAACACAACATATTTAATAATGTTTAAAATCTTTACTGTAGGATCTTTTTCATATGTTTATCAACATTTAGTAATACTTATTAAGTGAATTAAAAGTTCAGCTAAATTCATGCACACTGGGAACTACTAAATAAGTACATACCATAAATCCAGATGTCATGAAGTCTTTTATATGATAATTTTGTAGTTTCCTTCTAGAATACATTAAATTATTTTGAAAATATACAGAATGATGACTGTTGTCTTTGTCCAATTTCTATTCCTATGCATCCATAGATTGAGTGTTCCTGCTGGTATTTAATTCCTTCGCACCTGAAATCAGAAAACATTTACTAATTAATTGTTATTAACCCAATGCCCTTGTAATTAAAACTGCAAAGAGTTTTTTTTTGTATATCAAATTACAGAAATATAAGTACACTTTTGTTTGATTATGAACACAAACAGCAAAAACATGCAGAATTTGTACGTAAATAAAAAATATAAATAAAATAATGTTTAATCCTTTGTCAACACTACAATTATGAACAAAAAAATATTAAACACAAAATAATGAGAAACATAACTAATGAAATAAAAAAAAAAAAAAGAATATTTAAAATTAGCGTTGCAATGCTGACCGGATTGGGCCCTCGCTCAGCTATAAATGCTGGATGCTCCTATTGAAGTACCAACGCTGATCTTTCGCGAGAACCCTTGGGATCATCCACACGTCATCACATAAGCTGGTGACTTACTTTATTTAGATTGTGAACATTTACAGACCTCCTTACTCAATGACTTTTTTTATGATCAGTGTTGGTTTTATTAAAATTGTTATTGATATCAGAACTAAAGATGTACTTACCCTTCGATAATTCGTCTACGGAGAGTGGTCATACCAATGTCTTATTTAACCCAGTTTGTTGGGATTTCCCAGTTCGTTTTTAGCAAATTACAAACCGATAATATACATAATATTTAGAACAAGAAATATCTAAGAACGTTTTTAGGTTTATTTCCACAAACATACTTTTATAACTAATTACTTACTTTTATCCATTTTACTCTTCATTAAAGATAATTACAAAGAATTTAGTGACTCAATCTGCAAAGGGGACCATAACTGTCTGATGTTAAAATCCTAATTACTGTGGGCCATTGTTTGGTCGTTCCAAGAAAAAGCATAAAAAAGTTGTGCAGTTGTGTCAGTGACGTCATCGCGTGGCCGATACGGCCATTTGTACCTCCCGCAAGGGGGGCTTAGCGTTGTTTGTTAAATTTAGTGCTAGTCTTATGTAGATGGCGCAACGAGCCCCCTCGTAAGTTAGTGTCATTTATTTTCCCCTTAATACCTAATATATTGAATTAAAAAAAAATCCCCTGCTTTTTGCACTAGGCTAAAGCTAGGTACTCAGCCCGGCGCCCTTAAAGCGCCGGGACTAGTGGATCTATTTTACACGTGTCATTTACCTACACATCAAAATTATTCACCATGGAGTCCGAACTCATGGACTTCCTTAAAGCTCAACACCCCGAAATCTGGGAAACTTATTTAACATCCCGCCGGGCCATACCCGAAATACGTGACCCACGCCTCGTAGGTCGTCAAAATGCCTTGGTGCAAAACTCAGCACTCAGGCCAAAAACCACAATACCATGTCCCGCTACGG